TTGAATGCCAGTTATTATTGAATTTAAATTATGAATATAATCCTCTTACGTGAAGTATTTACTTGTTTTATTTTATTTACTGATGTGGGCATGCAACAAATGCGTTAGTAAAATAAATCACTCACTGCCATTTTCGTTCTAACACGTTTGTTTCCCTTTGGACCCATACAACAAATATCTAAAATTGTATCTTCATCAAATTTTTCAAAGTGCAAAAAGTATTTGCTAAAGTAATGCATTACTTTTTAGAAGTAAGTGTTCCAATCACTGTGATAACCTCCTCAAAGTAAAAACCTGCTGCGGAATTAAGATCCCGCAGCCTCTGGATCGTAGATAACCAACAGGAAAAAATGTAGATATTCTCCGTTTCTCAGTACAAGTTTAACTTCGACTGCTTATGTAATTAGACAACTAACAAGTTCAGATTACAAGCATCAGCTGTTAAAAGAAAATTAAACCGATTTTTTCTTTTCAAAGAAGAAGAGAGGACTGATTAATTAATTAATCACATTCAGTTTCTTCCCAAAAACACTCATAAATTTGAAGAACATTTATCCTGCAAGATTATAAGATCATGGACAAAGTTTGATTGACGATAACCATGCTTCCAATAAACTTAAGATATTTGCAAGATTTCACAGCATTCAGCTTTTACAATTTAGAAGTTAATTTGTAAAATATTGTTAGGTAATTTTGTTTTTTTTTTCAAATATCTAAGTAAATCAAGGGTCAAGACTCAACACGGATTTATAAATCACACATGCAAGTGCATGCCATTTTATAAAATTTTAAAATATTTATTCGGCAGAATTATATGATATGGCGTCATAATTTTTTGGGGAGGTCATAAATAAGTAAATTTTGAGTATTCATTTATTAAACTTTTTATAACCTTAAAACATTTGCAAGTTTTCAGCGCATTCGGTTTTGCAATTTTACAATTTGTAAAATACAATTTTTAATTTTTCACAAAAATGTGAATCTCTAGTGTAAAAAGTCAAGATGGATTCTTAAATTACACATGCAGGAATATGTCTCTGCCTGCTGTCCCGATTTTTATTAAACAGGTAATCTCCGAAAGTACTGGGCCAATTGTTGTCAAATTTTGTATTTACATTAGGAAATCATGTGGATGGTAAAACGATAACCAAAATTTATCTAATCATCCCCACCACAATTGTGTGATGACGTCGTTTCAAAATTGTACATAGTAAATGGGTTTTAAATTGTATTAAATAACAATGGTTTATGACTTCGTGCTGAGTTTTTATTCAAAACGTCCAGATTTTTGGAAAAAAATCACAATTATAAAACAACATTTTGCAATTTAATTTTGAATTTGCAAAACCGAATGCTTCGAAATGTTGCAGATGTTATAAAGTTATGATAAGCATAATAAACTTTGTAATTGATGACGTCGGCTCAAAATTTTGCTGAATAAATTCTATCTAAAATGTCCAAATATAATGAGTCTATACTTGTGATTTATCATTCCATTAATATTTTTTGGATTTGATTATACAGGCTAACTGAAAATATGATAAGCATGATAAACATAATATATAGTATACATAAACAAAATATATTTATTATCCCCTGAAAAAAATGTCAGTTCAAAATTTTGCCGAATAAATCCTATCTAAATTGTACAATTTATGATCAGTCTGTCCTTGTAATTTATCATTTCTGGCATATTTTTGGATTTGCGGATATAGGGTGACTCAAAAAATTAATGAATGTATGAATTTATTTTATTGATTTAATCTGGAACTGCTAAACCCAATGCTTTGAAATCTTAGAAATGTTTTAAATTTATCATAGGCATGGTAAATTTTTTATCAAAAGTATTTGCTCATCACCCCTAAAAAATTTATGACGTCACCTCAAAATATTGTTGAATAAATCCTGCCTTAGATGTGCAAAATATGATAGGCCTATACTTGTGATTTATCACTGCATGAATATTTTTTAGACTTTCTTATGCGGGGTGTCTCAAAAAAATTAATGCATGAGTCAGTTTATTTTATTGATTAAATCAGGAACGGCTCACTTCATTTTCTCAGAAAATTTTGGGAATTCAATACAGTTTTTTTTTTAGTATTACAGTGCACCAATCCAAGTTGATATACGTCTCGTTGTTTTTTCTTGCACTGGTAATACGCTGTGACTACTCTTCTTTTGTGCTGTGACTAGTATTATCCATGTTGATGACTTCATTACAAATTTTTATTGGTCAAATTAAGAACCAGTCATCCCATTTCCTCGAAAATTTGAAAAACACGTCTTTATAATAACAATAATGTTAAAATAAGAATTATACGGCGTGTTATTGAAAGGTACATACAAAATAAAATCGGCAATTGGTCTGGACGTATGGGTGCTAAAAGTAAAAAAAAGTTCAGGTAAATGTAAAATCATCTTTCGTTTCTATAGCAACATTTAGTCTTGACAAAAGTTTTATTGTTACAGTTGCTAGGATTTACTAAACTAAATTAATTTTAACGATTTATCCTTCAGTAGCGTCTAAAAAAGTTGGATAAGGGTTAATTTTCCCCTTATAATTTTGAAACACACAGTACGTTTTTCAGGCTTCTTAGACTACCCGAAGAACTGTCAATTTTGTTGTGCGTACATTTTAATAACACCCTGTATTATACGATCAGAACATTTTGTTCGATTGTGGTTTAAATAATAATTTTAGCCTTTGTTCTGAAAAGATAAACACATTCAAAGCAAACTAATTTCTCTCGATGTATTGACATAAATAAACATTTGACCATCAGATTGCTATTGCCTAGTGTTGGAGGACAAGTGTTATTAAAGATGGATTATTTTATGGTGAGTCATCAGAATCTAACAACAGACTGTCAGTCAGTAGCGTAACATGCACACTTCAGAAAGGGGTGGTTTTTAAATTTATTTTTTGAAATCGCAAACAATAACACGTGGAAACATAAACTTAAGTGAACTGGTTAACACACTAGCACGAATGCGGATGAATCGACTAGGCACTAATTTGAACAGGTACAGGTAGAAAAGTTCACTATGACAGAGAAACGATGACGGACGCCTCTCAGGGTGCGCCCATTCGAATATGCTCATTATGTTTCATTGTACTTCAGGAGCGAGGGACGTTCTGTCGAAAAAATTTTTCACCAATTTTTTTATAGGATTTTAAATGTCTTTCCTTTGGAAATCATGCTTGAAATTAAAACTATACTGAATTAAAAAACGATATCAACGCAGGCATGCGGTTTTACACAACCTGTTTCTCATATTATTTTTCGCATTTTAATTAAGATTTGCTTATCAAATTTTTATGCCAGCATTAGACAATTGTCAACAATAGTGTCTTACGGTATTTTACTTTTCAATACTAATAATAACAATATTTGTGCAAATTCCCTCTTAGCTTATGCTGCCAAAATATACTAAATTTACGATAAGTGGGTACGAAGCACCTAAGGTATTGTAATATGTTTGTTTCGATGAACATAAAAAAGTGGCAACAACGCAAGGTGCCACAAAAGCATTGATTGTCTCAATTTATATACAGATGGGTGCCTTATTACTGTTGATTTTGATTGTGCTTCTTTTACATGATTTATCAAATCAGTATATACACCGGGCGTCACAATTACATTCATCCTACAGGGTGCCACTTAATACAAAACTTATGTATATATATATATATTTTAATATTGTTTAACTTTGTATTTTATTCTTAATTAATTTGTAGTGTTTTTTTTTGTTCGTGTTTTACTACTTACAATCGAATAGTCTGTATAAAGTATTACAAATTTTCAAAGGGAGAGTTCTAGAATTGTAAAGTCTTTGCATAGTAAAAAAAGGCTTTAAAAATGGTGGATGCGCCGGGTAAACGCTGGTCAATTTTGCATATTGCACCCCGTATTTTTGGAACGTGTATGGAAAAACAAAAAAAATGTTTTCTGTGTAAAGTAATGTACTTGATGTCAAGTAAATACGAATAGATAAACAGTGTATTCAATTCAATCATTACGCAAAAAAAATATTCAACTTACTTGGCAACATTTGGTAAGTTTTACTAGAAACAAGCTTCTTTCTTGAAGGTTCCAAAACAACTACAACAAAAATACTTCCTCTTGCTAGCATCAGCTCTCATTTTTTATTTACAACATTATAAAAATCTAAAATATGCACTGCTATTAACGAATTTAATGAAGGAAGACACTAATAACCACTTTCGTTCAGGTAATGGAAAAATAATTGTAGGTTTAAAGACAAAACGTAATTTTACTCTATTTTAATGAAAGACGACGAAGAACTCCCCCAGCAACGAAAATCAATGTGGGACGAAAAATTTAATAAGCAGCTTAACTTTAATCATCTCGTTATTTTATTCGAAACGATAAATTTTTTATAACTGCCTCTATTACACGCCAAGCACAAATATTTAATTTATAACATTTCGGTTTATTGACTGCCTTTCCCAATTTCAATCCACAAAAACAGCGCTATTTTTGTCTGTACCCGTATTAGGCGACTTTTTTCTCTACTCTGTTGCTGTCGTCAAATTAATTAAAATCAGCTTACGACCATTCTGGTTCTACTTTTTCTATGACTTAATAATTGAACATTGGGCGATGGGTGGTTCGATGTGGTCCAAGAAACGCATGCGTTTGGTGGTTTGACGTAACGGGCGCTTGATTATAAAAGGGTTAGACAACTTGTTGAAAACTTTCTAATTGGTGGTTTATTCTGAAGTTAAAGTTGTTCAGAGGTATTATTAAATGTTGCAATGAATATTTAGCACATTGGCATGATTGTGGTATATGGCACGTACCAAGTATATTCTTCAATTTTTCAATATCTACAAAGTTAAAAATTTTTATTTTACACCAATATAAATTTTAACAAAACATCGAATTGACACAAATACAAGAAACTACCCAAAAAATTATAAAAATTTTATAAACGTCATATCACTCCAGTATTAATTTTTCAGGGTACAGTTTCCGATGGATACCTTTGACTGGAAACTCACCATAAAAGCTAACATAATCATGTTAAAAATGGTCGGCTTGTGGCCTGCAGGTGACGAAACCTACAAATTCAACATATACACCCTCTACACCACCGTATCCATTCTCGCGTTTGTCTACGGCCACAATTTCTTTCAAGCATTCAACATCATCTTCATTCTCGACGATATTGAAGCATTAACAGCCACGATATTCGTCTTACTCACCGACATGCTCGCCATCATGAAATCCTACTATCTCATCCAAAACATAAAAATCATCAAACAACTGATGGTGACTCTGAACAGCGAAATGTTTCAACCGAAAAACCTAAGACAGAAGGACATGATAGAACCCAGCTTGAATTCTTGGAAAATGGTGTATACCGTGTTTAGTTCAATGGCTTACAGTACCCTTTTCTTTTGGGGAACTTTTCCGTTTCTCGACAATTTGGTACAACAACATCAACTGCCATTTTTAGCTTGGTATCCGTGGAATGCCAAAGTTTCGCCTTTGTATGAAATAACTTATGCGTATCAAATGGCGAGTGTCAGTTTTATTTGTATATTGAATTTGAATATTGATACGTTGATTGCTGCTTTGAATATGTACACTGGGGCACAGTGCGATATTTTGTGTGACGATTTGAGACACATTCATGAGTTTGCTGACATCAATGCGAGGTTGAAAAGTTGTGTACGACATCATAAAGCTATATTAAAGTAAAGTATTGCACTTCAGTGGTAGATACTAGAAGTAGTTTGTTTCAGATTTGCTGAAAATTCTAACCAATTCTTCAACTGGATAGTTCTAGTGCAATTTTTCGTTAGCGCTGTTTCTATTGGTATGACAATGTTTCAGTTAACTGTGGTATGTAATACTAGTAATACTACTTTAAATTTTTATTTGTTTAACTAAAACTTTTAACTTTCAGGTTGCTGCCTTCAGCAGTCAGTTTTATTCTTCTTTATTTTATGTAAGCGCTGTCGTGGTAGAAATTTTTATGTACTGTTGGTATGGAAACGAAGTGGAAATTAAGGTACAGATTTAGATGTCGAGGTTTTTTAAATCTGTGCTTTTTTTTGCAGAGTAGTAATATTCCTTACGCTGTTTTCGAGTCCGACTGGACCGAGACCTCTTTAGAAGTACAAAAGCATATCGTGTTTTTTATTCTGAGGTGTCAAAAGCCAATCAAACTCTCGGCTTTGAATTTGTTTTATCTCACACTGGACACATTTGTGACGGTGAGTAAGTTATTCATTTGGTATCTGTTCTACACTACTTTTTTTTGCAGATAATGCGCACTTCGTGGTCGTATTTTGCCATTTTGCATCAAGTTAGTGAAAAATAATTTACTATATAAAATATATATATATATATTAGGGTGATTCAAAAAAAAAAAATAATTTTTTTTTTCGTGCAAAGAGGTTCAAAAGTTTCTTTTCAACGTAAAAAAATACCAGTTAAAATTTGAGCTCTTAATATTAATATTAAGACCGTCCGCATCGCGTTTTTCTATTTCCCATAAGAATAACATGGGAAAATTTTTGTTTGCACCTTCTGATTTTTATTGCTAGCCCGTCGTGTGTCGTGAAAAAAATTCAATCACATATTTTTATAGAGAATTGAACGCTCTACAAAAAGTGTCTCCTATGATTGTGCGAGAAACCTGATAGTTGAAGAGTTATTTTAGGCTAAAGTTAAATTTATCCAAATTTTGACGTTTTTGATGCATTACAATAAATTTGATGGTCTTATTGGAATAAATCACCACAAAAATTTATACACATTTTAAATTTAGTTTTTTAAACAGTAATTGTTTATAATTTTATGCTATAATAAGGCCAGTAAAACTCTTTCCGAACATTTTCAGCATCAGTGGGTTAAAAAATCATAGTCAGGTTTCTCGCAAAATCATAGGAGACACTTTTTGTAGAGCGTTCAATTCTCTATAAAAATATGTGATTGAATTTTTTTCACGACACACGACGGGCTAGCAATAAAAATCAGAAGGTGCAAACAAAAATTTTCCCATGTTATTCTTATGGGAAATAGAAAAACGCGATGCGGACGGTCTTAATATTAATATTAAGAGCTCAACTTTTAACTGGTATTTTTTTACGTTGAAAAGAAACTTTTGAACCTCTTTGACACGAAAAAAAAAATTATTTTTTTTTTTTGAATCACCCTAATATATATATACATAAGAGAAATTGGTTGTTAAATAAGTTAATATTTATTCCGTTTATTTTGTGTACGTCTGTAATTATTATTTACTAAATACTTATTTGTGTTATTTAGTTCAATTGTACTGCTAAACTTGAAAATAAAACTACCATATTTAGTTTATTCGAATCTATGTTTATTACATGACCGAGGAAATTTTCAGTAAAAGAATAAGAAATTACCTAAAGCAAAAAAAAAAAAAATTGTAAAAGATCGGATATTAAAAAAAAAATTGTCGAGGGTATGGACGATACCCAAACGGCATGGATACAGCTAGAGGACAAGAAAAGGAGTTGGAATCCTTGAGGAAGATGGAAAGAGAGAGTGATGAAGGACGTTAGAGGCAGATAAATAATTAATTGGAAGGAGAATGAACATTTCATAAAACACTTCATAAAAAACATACTTCACTCCTAAGTTTTATATTCTGAAAATGAATGTATTGATTCTTTGTGTGTTATTTCTTTATTAGATATACATGGTGGTATTTTGTGTCCGAAAGAAAACATTCGCAGCAAGTGCAAAATTTTGAGATACTGAAAATATGCAAACGCTATTATTTGCAGTTCGACGGCAGAAGTTTAATTTAGTACATTACAAATATGGCTCAGGTATAGGTTTTTTTAAATTGCAACCTATATATTTTTCAATAGATTTTGGTAGAACATTAATTAACGTTTACAATAATATAAGCTGCTTTGTGTTTATTTCATTTTAAGTTGATAAAAAATTAAATTTATAAATAATATAAAAATTTGGGGCTGAGTTGGAACTACCACTTTATTTTACTAAAAAAAAAAAAACAACTAAAATATGTTTCAAAATCAGTTATTAATTGCGTTAAAAGAAACCATTCCCAATTTAGTTTTTTTAGCCTTCTAAATTAGGCAACGCTCGCAAATACGTCAGATTTTTTATATATCGCCACAACTATAATTCTAAGGACCTCAAATCTGGGCAGCGAATGGCCGTAGATCCAATTTTCACAACAAATATTTTCTAGAGTTGAAAATATGAACCATTTTCGACAGGCAACAAAGAAATATTGCACTTTAAAGAATTATGACGTTAAAAATTAAAATTAGTAATTTAGTTGTGGTTTGTACATATGTTGCATATGATAATTCGATATATGTATCTCTTGATTTAGAAAGTGTATGTTTTTTCTTACTGAGCGTAAGGGACTCCGTCGGCCCACTGCACTGTCTACTTTTACATTTTCTCGACCTTTTATCACCCTTAGAATACGAAGAAATAGGTTGTCCGTCTGTTCGTCTGTCTGTCTGTCCGTCTGTCTGTCTGTCCGTCTGTTTGCCGTCCGGATTTTATTTAGACAGATGATCTCCGAAAGTTCTTTCAATTGTTGTCAAATTTCGTATTTATATTAGGAATATAATGTAGGTGGTAAAACGCTAACCAAAATGTGTCTAATTATCCCCACCAATAATGTGATGACCTCACTTCAAAATTGTACATATGGGTTTTTTTTAATAATAATAATAATAATAATTTATTACGGAAAATCTCCATTTTACAAAATTAAAAATATAATCCAGTACGTACATTAATGGGAGGAAAAAAAACAAAGCTATTTAACTAACAATAATAAACTAATAAAAATTGAAATAAATCAAAAATTTTAAGTTGTATAAAATAATGTAGTCCTACACGTGTAGTTAATGACTCCGTGTTGAGTATTTTCCCGAAACGCCCATATTTTTGGAAAAAAAAAATCTAAACGACAAAACAAAATTTTGGATTTTAATTTTGAATATGTAAAACCGAATGTTTATTTTTTAATCAAAATATATTTGCTTATCCCCATTATATTTGCGACTTATCATTCATTAATATTTTTTGGATTTGCTTATACAGGGTGACTCAAAAAATCAATGAATGCGTGAATTTATTTTATTGATTAAATCAGGCTCTAGAAAACCGAATGCTTTGAAATCTTGGAGATGTTTTAAAGTTGTCATAAGCATGGTAAATTTTTGTTCAAAATGTATTTGTTCATTCCCTGTAAAAAATTGATTACGTCACCTAAAAATTTTGGCGACCAAATCCTATCTAAAATTTGTAAAATATAATCAGTCTACACTTGTAATTTATCATTGGCCTCATATTTTTTAAATTTGCTTATACAGGCTGACTCAAAAAAATTAATCAATGAGTCAATTTATTTTATTCATTAAATCAGAAAGAGCTCACTCCATTTTCACAGAAAATTTTGAGAATACATTACTATTATTTTTAGTATTGTACTGCACCAATCCAAGCTGATATATGTGTCCTTGCAAAAATGTTAAGACGTCATCACAAAATTGTGTAAAGAAAAAACTCAACTCGAAAATGCTAGATATGTTTCGTCGTACTTTAGGTGGCAGGGAAGTTCTGTCGAAACAACTTTCGACCAATTTTTTACAATTAAAACTACTACAACATATAGAAGTGTGTAATAGGATACGTCGGATGAACGGTTACTTTCTAGTTTTCTCGACGTTTCATGACCCCTACAGTTTGAAAGAATAGTTCTCCCGTTTCCGTTAATCCTTCACTGTGTCGATTCTTACTAGATTATTGTCAAATTTTATATATATTTTAGAAGTATCTCATGAATGATAAAAACGCTAACCAAAACTTGTCTGATCACTCCATTAACAATTTGATCACGTCACTCGAAGATTTTGCATAGAAAATGCCATTTTAAATTTTGTATAATGGCAAATCCCTGTTGTTGTGGTTTATGAATCCACCTTGATTTTTATTATTATTATTATTGTAATTTTTATGGCTTAAATCTTCTAACATTTAATCGGTTTTTATGACTATGCTATATATTTACTATATTTCTAAATTATATTAATTACAATTAATTAAAAAAATATCACATTCAGCAACAAATCTGAAATTCTTTAATTCATATTTAATTTCTCGTATTTTTATAAAAAGCAGACAAAAATATTGTGCAATAATGGTTATTAATTGGAGATTAGTGTGTGAGTCAAAAATTAAAACGCATCGTTATTTTCGTGATAGATTTTTTTTTTAAACTTTGACTTTGTCGGTAGGATGACAGTAATTTGCAACACAAAAAAAAAATACAATTTAAATTTATAGCAGCCATTTTAAGCTGCTGATGTCGAATAATGTATCCTAAATAATTTTGAAAGCAATAGAATCTTGTTTTCTTTTGTGTTCATTCTCTTGTGGCTGTGTTATTTTCCACAAAAAAAAATATAATTTGTTTAGCATTATTGTGGACAAGCTGTTTTATCGAAAATTTTTAGTAAATGATTTTCATAGGTTCTCAGGGTTTTCACTATTTGATGTTGGATATCTAATAATTTTTAAGGCAGCTCTACTATATTTCTATTTTAAAAAATATCTATGTTGTGGTATTTCCTTTAAAATTTTTTTAAACAAGAAATCTAAATCAATTGTTGTTTTTAGTTTAAAGTTATAAATGTATTTTGGGATCGGTAATAGAAAGAAGAAATTAACCATTACAATCGTAAACTACATATGTTACGTGTTCATTGAATGATGTTTCTTTTTCTTTACCGCTTTGTTTCTCCAAAGTCTACTAACAAAGATAAATTATTTTAACAATAATAAACACATAGACAGAAAAGAAAATGAGAGTAATTTGAATTTTTCAAATGATTGATATTTGTATAATTTCCACGATTAAAATTTAATTAGTAATATGACACTAAGTTTATGACAGTACTAAATATATTTGTTTTAAATGCTACCAAAGATCATTTTACGACCAGTTTATATATACTATTGTTTATTTTGATGAAATATTAGATCCACAATTTTTGTATACTTACATGATACATTATATAATAACACAAGCATTTTTTGGTTAAACTTAAACTACTCACAATCTGCTTAACCGGAATAAGACTTCTCCACTACAGCCACAATTAACAAATAAAGCCATTTAATTATTTAGTCGTGTTTCTTGTGTTATTACTAATTCATGCAAGCATCCTTTGTTTGGAGGCAATTAAGAAATAATGAACTTCATCTGAAAGTAATTTTTAATTTAAATTACAGGTTTAGCTACAACCCGATCCAATTTTTATAATTTCAAAGCTAAGTATCTTTTATAAAAGACCAACATAGTAATTATCGGTCACAAAAAATAAAACTTCCTTGTAAATAAGTACCAACTAAGAGTGATTAAAGGGTTATCGAAAATATACTGAATTTTGTGTCACTTGATCAATGAATTTTTAAAATTCTGCATCAAACCTATAATTTAGAGATTTTTAATTCATGACGGTACATTTATTTAAGACTTGTTTTCTCTAAATAAAATTTATTTAGTCACTATCTAGCCGTACACACAACACCACAACTTACTGTGTGAATTTTTACCATTTTTTTAGAAAATCACGACAATGGAAAAATTCGATTGGCATAAAAGACTACAGCCGCTGTTATTTTTCTTTAGAATAGTAGGCCTCTGGCCAAAAAAGCAAGAACTTTACAGCTACAACCTCTACACACTATACACTGCTCTGTCGTTTATTTTGTTCGATGTGTGCCACAATCTCTTCCAAGTGGTACAAATGTTTCTGATCCCTATGGATTTAGAAGCTGTGGCTGGATCCCTATTCATCGCAGTCCAAGCAGTGGCAGTTATTAAAGTTTTCGCTTTCATACGGCAGATGAAAATGATTAAAGAGCTAATGCTGAAACTGAACGACGACATCTTTCAACCCAGAACACACGAACAAAGAGTAAGAGTAAGCGCAGCTTTGCAATTTTGGTGGAGGATTTATGTGGGATATCAGTTAACTCTTGCTTGCACTGTAGTTCTATGGAGTAGTTTCCCACTTCTGGATAAATCGTACAAAGAATCTCGTTTGCCATTCGTGGCTTGGTATCCATACGACTACACTAAAAGCCCTCTTTACGAAATCACGTACTTTTATCAAAGTTTTAGTCTGGCTTTTCTCAACGTGTGTAACTCAAACTTAGATATGTTTGCAGTGTGTTTGATGATTTGTATTGGAGCTCAGTGCGATATTTTGTGTGATAATTTGAAAGGACTTGGACATTTGGAGGAAGAAGGAGGCTATAATGATTTTAACAGTGGGTTTTTGGATATTATAAGAGAACACAAAGAAATTCTGATGTATGTAAATTCCTTAATGTGTCACACAAGTAATAATTAATTTTTAGTTTTGTTGCAAAGTTTAATTTGTTTGTCGACAAAATTCTCCTAGCTCAGTTTGTCACCACCGCTAGTTCTTTAGCGCTGTGTTTTTTTCAGCTAACATTAGTAAGAGTGAAATTTCAGTTGACCTTATAAAAATTATGTATTCTAGGTACCTGCATTTAGTAGCGAATTTTTCTCAATAGTAAGCCTCATAATATCTACCACGTCTCAGATTTTTTTATACTGTTGGTACGGAAACGAAATCGACGCTAAGGTACACAATTGTATTTTTTCCCACTCAGAATATATTTTTTGTTTAGAGCAGCAAAATTACGTATTCAGCGTTCAAATCAGGATGGATTGGCACTTCATATGAAGCACAAAGGGCTTTGTTAATTTTTTCCCTGCGAACACAACAGCAAATTACCATTAAAACATTCAATTTGTTTCCGTTATCGCTGGTAACTTTCATGACGGTATGGAGATTTTTTGGGGCGAAAATTTTAGATTTATTGTATAAATTGTAGATTATGAGAACGGCATGGTCATATTTTGTGGTCCTACGGCAAGTGAACGTTCCAGAACAAAATTAATGTTTTATATTAGTTTAACTATAAATTCGACAACGTTTTGAATGAGTATTTTGTTGAGTAAATTTAATATCATATGTAGTTAGAAGAGCTCATGTGTGATTAATTATAAGTAAAAACACAGTATTTTTAGAAAAACTGAAGCATTTTTTGGACTTCAAGAGTAGATGGATCTACTTAAGAAATTAAATCACATAGATCAGCGTTGCATTGTGTATTTAGTTCAAAATTTTGTGTGATGATATCTTACAACAGAAAAATAAAAACGAACATATTGTTAAAGCAGTTTCATTTAAAACGAAAATTGAACAAAAATAGTGTACTTTAGAAGAAATCGGTTACTTTTTCTAGAATTGTGATATTTAAACAAAGATTTTAAGTAGTATAATTACGTCTCTGTTATTCATAGAGATGTGGACCGCAAATTCGTGATTTGGGGAAAATTTCCCATCAGAACTACTTATTTTAGTATCATTTTTATGAATTTGAATTTTGGAAAAAATGGTGGAGACGTCGTAATAATAATTTCTAATTTTATTAATATTTATTTAAAGTATTCTTAGGAAATTTTAATAACAAATAACGCAGGTACATCAGAAGAAATGATTTTAATAAATTTATTTTTTTGAAAAAGAAAAATTTGCCTTATTATCCGGAATACTACTAAACTTTTATTCGTAATCCAACGAATAGTTCTAATCAGAATCAAATAATACTTTAATTTTTTTTAAATATGGTGGAGGAGCCGGGCTAAATTTAAATTTCATTAATATTTATTTCAAGAACTTGTAAGAAACACGATCTTAATATTTAAGCAGAGATTTTAATAAAAATGAATATTTTTTTTTAATCGAGTTTTACCAATATAAATTCATTTTGTGCTTTTTTGACAAATTTGAATTTTTAGCTAAAAATGTTGCAGGCGACGAAATTATTTCTAATTCAAATAATAATACAGGGTAATGAAAAAATGAATGACGAATAAGCACCATGGTCCGTTGTTAAGAAGGCTCCGAAGAAAATGGTTAAAAAATTCCCGAACCAAATTTTTGAGAATGTTAAACTTCAAAATTGGAGAACTAACTTCGAAATTCTAATGTTTTAATGTGAATTTAATAGCAGTGTAGTCTACCGATACAGTTGGTCAAAAATGGCATCTGCCAACCGTAAAAATGACGTTATGGATCGTATACTATATGAAATTAGTATTAAATTATGAATGACTTTTTATTTAACTGTCTATGCAGGGATTTTTTTTTCGAGCTTTTCAGAGCCTTACCATTGATCTTATCCGTAATTTTTTTAATCACCCTGTATTTATTAAAAATATTCTTGAGAAATTTGAGTACTAACGTTCATCAGAAGAAATTGTATATTTATACACTTTAGTGGAGATAAGTGACTCTTTTTCGAAGTGATTTTAGCAAATTTATCTTCTTAAAAGAAGCAAATGGAAATGGACAAACTAAAATTATATTTATACCATTTTGACAAATTTTAATTTCAGGGAAAAATATGGTGGAGGCGCCGGGCAATTTGTAATTTCATTAATATTTATTTAAAGAATTTCTAGGAAACTTGAACAAAAATTAATAAATGTGAGCAAAAATTGTTTATTTCTTCAAGGATCTTAATACTTCACCAGAATAACAAAGTACATAGAGATTTCAAAGATGATTACTTTTGGATAAATTTTGAAAAAAATATCCTTCCAATTAAAAATAAAAATCACCGCTTTTAAAAAATAGTCTATTCTAACACTATTTTCTAAAATTTGGATAAAAAAAGTTGGAGGCGCCGGGATAATTTCTAATTTCAGTAATATTTCCTTCAAGAATTTATAGGCAACTCGAACAAAAATTAATAAATGTGACCAAAAATTGCGTGTTTCTTCAAGCACCTCATCACTTGAGCATAATAACAAAATACACAGAGATTTGAACGATGATCATTTTTGGATAAATTTTGAGAAAACTATTCTTCTAGTTAAAAATAAAAATCATTGTTATTAAAAAATAGACCATTGTAACCCTATTTTGTAAAATTTGGATAAAAAATGGTGGATGCGCCGGGATAATTTCTAATTTCATTAATATTTCCTTCAAGAATTTATAGGCAACTCCAAGAAAAATTAATAAATGTGTCCAAAAATTGCGCGTTTCTTCAAGCACCTCACTACTTGAGCAGAATAACAAAATACACAGAGATTTAAACGATGATCATTTTTGGATAAATTTTGAGAAAACTATTCTTCTAGTTAAAAATAAAAATCACTGTTATTAAAAAATAGACCATTGTAATACTATTTTGTAAAATTTGAATAGAAAATGGTGGATGCGCCGGGATAATTTCCAATTTCATTAATTTTTCCTTAAAGAATTTATAGGCAACTCCAAGAAAAATTAATAAATGTGTCCAAAAATTGCGTGTTTCTTCAAGCACCTCATTATTTGAGCAGAATAACAAAATACACAGAGATTTGAACGATGATCATTTTTGGATAAATTTTGAGAAAACAAGTCTTCTAGTTAAAAATAAAAATCATTGTTATTACAAAATAGACCACTGTAACACTATTTTGTAAAAATTTGGATAAAAAATGGTGGATGCGCCGGGATAATTCCTAATTTCAGTAATATTTCCTTCAAGAATTTATAGTCGCCTCGAAGAAAATTAATAAATGTGACCAAAAGTTGTGTGTTTCTTCAAGCTTCTAATTAGTTGAGCAGAATAACAAAGTACACGGAGATAATATTATTTTTGTAGAAATTTTGAGAAAAATGTCCTTCAAGGTAAAAATAAAAAATCTCTGTTACTCGATGAGAAATAGAGAAAATAAAGATAAGTTTGTGATTTGGAAAAAATGATAAAGAAAAAAAAAACATTGTAACATTATTTTATAAAATTTGATAAAAAATGGTGGAGGCGCCGGAATAATTTTTCTCTTTTAATATTCATTTTAAGAATTTAAATTAATCCTTACTATTAAGATTAGGAAGCATTGTCTGTTTTTTAAATAACTCGATACTTGGACAGAACGATGAAACATCCACAAATTCGAACGAAGTTAGGTCAGAGCTGATTTTGACAAATGTGTTGAAATACAAAAAAATTCGGATCGTTTTTGAAAAATATGGCTTTGTGAAGAACAGAAAAACTGGGTTATTTTACCAAATAAACAAAGTAGAGATATATTCGTGATCTTGAGGAATTGTCCGGTAAGAATGACCTACCTATCTATAAATAGCTAAAAATTTCAAGTTAATCGAAATGGTGCTAAACTAGTCAAACTGGTGCTAAATTCTGGGAAAATTGAAATTTTTGGTATAAAATTTTGGAAGCAGTGATTTCAAGAATTTGCAAAAGACTTGAACAAAAAGTAGAAGAAATGGTACATTTCGAAAAAATTGGTATATGAACGGAAATTAAATGAGGCTTTATAGCACCAATTTTCACAAATTTATTGCCTTGAATAAAAAACCATGTTCATACGTAATTCAACGACATATATTCAAAGTATCCAGAAATTCGTGATCATGAAAAAATGTTCTTTAAAAAAAAAACTAATTTGAATACAAATTTTTCCAAAATTTAGTTTTTAAACAGAAATGGTAGGGACACATGATTCTTTGAATTTGTAATTTGAGTAATAATTTTGTATGTTAGAATAAATGGTGAATTTCTTCAAGAATATTAACTAAATGAAGATAAGTGACAATTTTTTGGAACGATTTTGACAAATATATTCACCTCAATAAAAAAAATCATTTTCATTCGTTGTTCGATGAGATACGGGCGAAATAAGCACGGTCGTGACTTTGAAAACTTTTTCTGTAAGACTTTGACCAAATAATAGGAATTTTAATTGTTTATATAAAAATGGTGCAGGCGCCGGGATATTTACTTTTATTAGTACCGATTTGTTTCAAGAAATTTTAAGTAAACTGAATTACTTCTGATTTACATTCGTCAAAAACGTGTATTCGAAAGGAATATCAAAAATGAGCAAACATAAATAACCCTTTTTCGACTTAGATTACAAATAACGGAAACTTTTAAAAGAAAAAACAAGCAAACATTTCGTTATAAAATACAATTTAAATAATTTTTGCATACTCACTATGTTTTACTGGTAACTCCAACATTTCTGGTTAAATTTAAAAATCATAACCTACACAATCCGAATAAAGCTAATTTCTGCAGCACAATCATAATTCACAAGACAAAGTCATTTAATTAGTTGGTCGTTTTTCGTATGTTATTAGTAATTCAAGTACCCTTTGTGTAGGGAGCAATTAAATAATGCTGGAGGAATTATGAACTTCATCTGAAAATGAATTTTTAATTTAAATTACAGGTCTAATCACCCAATTTCTATATTTGGAAAGTAAAATAAAACCACCGTAGTAATTATCGGTCACAAAAAATAAAACTTCCTGGTAAATAGGTAAAAGCTAATAGTGATAAGGGGTTACTGAAAAAATACTGAATCTTGTATCACTTGATCAATAAATTTTTAAAATTCTGCATCAACCCTACAATTTAGGGATTCTTAATTCATGTCGTTCCCTTTATTTAAGATGTTATTTCTCTGTAAAGTTTTTATTTGCTAAGAAATCAGCAACACACATACAGCATAGTTCATAAGGTCTGTTATCTCCGACTTTATCATATTTTAATGTATTTTTTTTTAGAAAATCTCTAGAATGGATAAATTCGACTGGCATCAGAAAATGAAGACGTTGTTATTTTTCTTTAAAATAGTAGGTCTGTGGCCAAAAAGGCAAGAACTTTACAGCTTCAATCTTTACACAGTGTACACTGTCGTGTCCTTCATTTTATTCGGTTTCTGCCACAATCTCGTCCAAATTATAAAAGTATTCTTAATCCCCATGGATCTTGAAGTTCTCGCTGGAACCCTATTCATTGCATCTCAAACAGTGGCAGCCATGAAAGCTTTCACTTTCATGAGACAAATAAAAATGATTAAAGAGCTGATGTCTAAACTGAATGATGATATTTTTCAACCACGAACACAAGATCAAAGAACAACAGTAGCCTCAAGCTTGCAATTTTGGTGGAGACTTTACGTCGGATATCAAATTGCTCTTGGTAGCACTGTAGTTATGTGGATCAGTTTTCCACTTCTGGATAAATCGTACAAAGAATCACGCTTGCCATTCGTCGCTTGGTATCCATACGACTATACCAAAAGTCCGCTTTACGAAATCACTTACATTTATCAAAGTTTTAGTCTGGTTTTTCTTAACGTGTTTAATTCGAACTTGGACATGTTTTCAGTGTGTTTAATGATTTGTATTGGAGCTCAGTGTGATATTTTGTGTGATAATTTGAAAATGCTTGAACGGTCTGACGAAGATTATAATGGTTTTAACGAGACGTTAGTCGATGTAATCCGAGAACACAAGGAGATTTTGACGTATGTAAATTCACTGTTAATAGAAATAATTATTATATTATTTTTAGTTTTGTTAAAAAGTTTAATATGTTTCTGGACAAAATCCTCTTAGCTCAGTTTCTCACTAGTGCTTCTTCTCTAGCGCTTTGTTTTTTTCAGCTAACATTAGTAATTATGGAATTCTGGTTGTTCATTTGTAAAATATGTATTTTAGATACCTGCATTTAGTAGCGAGTTTTTCTCAATAGTAAGCCTTATAATATCTGTGACGTCTCAAATTTTTTTATATTGTTGGTATGGAAATGAAATAGAAGTTAAGGTACGTTGTTGTTTTTTCGTAACCAAAATTATATATATTTTTTTGTTTAGAGCAGCAAAATTACGTATTCGGGGTTCGAATCTGAATGGATTGGAACCTCTTCTACAGCACGACAAACTTTGGTAATTTTTTTCTTGCGAACCCAGCGGAAAATCACAATTAGGACATTTAATTTGTTTCCATTATCGTTAGGAAGTTTTATGTCGGTATGGTGTTTCCTTGTAGTAAAAATTTTGAGTTTATTGTAAAAATTTCAGATTATGAGAACAGCGTGGTCTTATTTTGCTGTATTGCGACAAGTAAATGTTCCAGAACAACAGTGAGTCCGAGCTTAAATTAAAATTGATAATAGTTTTTGTCCTTATTTTTATCTGAATAAACATGATAAATGTATCGGTTAATTAACTCACACAGACCATCGTTGCATACTTAATTTAGTTAGTAATTTAGGGGAATGTTTGCTGTACAAGTTTGGTCCACTGATTACAAGCAAAAGGTATAACGAATGCATACTAATTCATTAATCAACATTTATTCGTTCATCGCCTCCCAAAAGTTGATGACGTAATTTCAAAATTTTAGGGGTCATCATGAAAAAATTAAATTTGATAAGTTTTCGAAGTTGCATTTGTTCGACTGTACTTTAGAAAGTTCTGTAGAAATAACCTTCGACCATTCTTTTAATACTGGCTACACAGTGTGTAAAATATTGCGTGCTAATTTTAAAGCTTAGGTTAAAAAGAAAAAAGAAACGAATGAAGTCTTCATGTATAAATGAAATTTTATACTGAATTAATTTACGCAAAAACGTTCATAAATTTTAGTCTCACAATACAGATTGTAGCGAATCACAACAGTGGAATTTATTAGGATTAATTGTAGTGGGTGGAATTAACGAAACATTATTTCAATTGGTTAACGATTTATATTCATTAAACGAATAAACAATGAGCAGTATCTTAAAAATCGTTTTTTTTTTGTTAAAAATTAATAAAAAAAATCATTAGATCTGCATGAAGTAGGCCATCCACGTTGGCCATAAATAATTGATAGGTGGAAGGTTTATCTAATAAGTGATGCAACTAAATAATCAATAATTGATGTATCAAAGAATTCTGCATACTGACAAAGGGTTGGTATCAGTTTTTAATTTTTAATGAAGCGTTTGCTGGCATTTCCTCATACATGTTTATGTGATGTAGGCGGCCATCAGTATATATAGGAAAAAATGCATGTAGAAATTCAGTTTTAGTTGCGACGTTGTAACAGCAGAAAATATTTTAACACATAACTGTTGTTTTAATACAGAGAAGCTTCATGCGTCGAAGAAAATAAGTACAGCAGAAGGTATAAAACACGTAAGTTAGTTGTTTATTTGGTAATGGTAAGCAGCTTTAATATCTTGTATAAAAGCCATAAGTTCAAAATTTACGGTAAAAATATTTTGTAATTAAATTTAGTTGAGAATTTTTGTCTTAAGTTTGCTTCTTAATTTACTTGAGATGTTTTCTTTGGTGCGTTCACACAGTTTTATAAAAAATAATTTCAGCAATAGTGAAGCTTCTGAAATTTTACACAATATTGTCAAACCGTTTATATGCAGACATTATTTTTTCTCCATTCATTATTTTGTCTTAACAGAATATGTATTACTAAATTAGGAAACGCTTCTTAAGAGCTACCTGTAACAAATGGACTTATTAAAAACTATAAATTTTCCTAGTAAAGTACTCGCTTTTTCTCTTTCTTAATCATTCATTTCAATTGCTCATTTTTAATTGTTTGAAATCCTATGATCTCAGTTTTGGTAACTTTACAACAAAAGTTAATTACACGGTTGCTGCTCGATCTATCTAACCAAATACGAACGTAGCATTTTTTTTTAATATCTGAGTGATAATTGTGTTATATTAAAAAAAGCATTAGGGCCGTCAGGCATTTATCAGCTGCAAGTTGAGTGGAAGGTGCGTACTTAAAGCAAAGATGTATTTAATTAACTTTATTTTCAGATTTTCAGCCAAGTTGAAGCAAAATTTCGGCAAGTCGATATGAATAAATTTGCATTGTTGTTAATGTTGCTAAACATCGCTGCAACAGTTCCGGATATTTTAGAACTACTACAAGTGTGTAGTGTCATACAATTTCCACAACTGGTTGGCCGGAAAAACGACACTGATTTGAAGTTAAAATTCTGCCTAGTGTTATACGAAGCGCCACATTTAATACTTTCAGTTCAATATTGCCTAAATTGTGAGGCCTACTTAAGTAAATTTTCATATAACTTGAAGACTAATTCTTGTAGGAGCAATGCAAGCAGTAAGAATAATCTTGCTCTTTCGTTAGTACTTTTAGCACAAAAATTAGAGATCTACATAATAAGTTAGGACCAACACGTTTATTATGTTATAAAGGTAATATGAAGATATTTGTTTAAATAACTACAATTTTAAAGAAATTGGAGTATTTGTTGAATTTTCATTCTTTATATATTATATATAGAGATTATGGTATCATATTGTAAACTAATTAGTCTTAATACTAAGTAATAGTTTTCAAAATTGGTTGTTTTTGTTCAGTTTTTTAAGGCAACTTATTTTTAAATAAAAAAAGCACGAAGTTCATCTTAAACTATGTAGTAAAATTTCCTAGTAAGTGTGATTTTAACTGGAATGCGACATTTATGATATCTTAAACTGAGATTATTTTGTAGATTTTTTTCCGCGCAATGTATTTATATTATTATTAAATAAATATTATTAAACTAGAAAATTTATCGCAAGATCTGTAATAAACAATTTTGCTTTGTTTTTACTTTCTCAAATAAGCATGTGTCAATAAGTAGTTTGTAAAATAATTGTTTCTAAAAAAGTGACAAAGCTATTGAAATAGATAACAATAGTTTTCTAAAATTGTGTGAAGAAATATGCACAAAACTGTAAAATAAATGTCACAAGTAAGTTATTAACTTATTACTTAATATCGCTGAGATTTATTGCAAATTTGTGTAAGTATATATCCAAAATAAATTTATAATCATACAATGTTATGAGTTTAATAGTGAGTCATCACAACTGCAATTTTGAATTAATTGTAAATCACTTACCCCATTTTATTTCAATTTTTGATTATTTTTTGGACCGGAAAATCGGTTGTCATAATTAACGCATTTTATTCGACGCTTCAACACAGATTTATAAAATATCTCCTCTTTTATATCTACAGTCGTCATTCACAAAATATGTATTATTGAATTATGGAACGCTTTTTAAGGGCTACCTGTAACAAATGGAGTTATTAAAAATTATAAATTCTTCTAGTAAAGTAGTCGCTTTTTCTATCTCTTAATCATTCATTTCAATTGCTCATTTTTAATTGATCGCAATCCTTTGATCTCAGCTTTGGTAACTGCCTTAATCAATTATTTATATTTCTTCTTATAATTAATATTACAACAAAAGGAAAAAGTTAATTACACGATTCCAGCTCGATCTACGATTCTTGATCCAACTAGCATTTTTTCTTTAAATATTTCAGTGATTATTGTGTTATATTAAAAAAAGCACTAGGGCCGTCAGGCACTTGTCAGCTGAAAGTTGAGTAGAAGGTATGTACTTAAAGCAAATATGTATTTAGTTAATTTTGTTTTCAGATTTTCAGCTAAGTTGAAGCAAAATTTCGTCGATATGAATAAATTTGCATTATTGTTAATATTGCTAAACATCACTGCAGCAGTTATGGATATTTTAGAACTACTACAGGTTTCTAGTGTCATACAATTACCACAACTGGTGTGTCGAAATTTTGGGCGGAAAGGTTTTACTCAAAAGGACACTGATTTGAAGCTAAAATTGTGCGTTGTGTTATACGAAGCGTCAGATTTAAAATTTTCAATTGAATATTGCCTAAATTGTGACGCCTACTATAGTAAATTTTCATGTAAGTTGGAAACTAATATTTGTAGGAGCAGTACAAATAGTAACGTTAATCTTGGCATTTCGTTAGTATTTTTAGGACAAAAATTTGAGATTTACATAATAAGTTAGGACTAACATGTTCATTATGTTATAAATGTAATATGAAGATATTTGTTTAAATAACTACAATTTTAAAGAAATTGAAGTATAATAGTTTTCAAAATTTGGTTGTTTACGTTCAGTTTTTTAAGGCAAGTTATATAAAAAAAGCAAGTTCATATCAAACTATGCAGCAAAATTTTCCAATATTTTGTAGATTTTTTTCTGTGAAATGTATTTATTATTATACGTTTTTGTGTAATATTCTGCAATGTCAATAAATTATTACCCATAAAAATGACTTCTTTTTCACCTTTTTGTATTAAAACATTCATTAAAATTTTAGGACTGACGAGAAACCAAATTAATCATAAAGTTATTAAGAGTTTTTGCTTTTGAAAGTGCACACTTTTTTAATGTTTTTAAGTTAAATTTTGTATTTAAAATTATTTTTGAATTTTTAACGTTAAATGGATTAGTAAATAATTAAACAATTAATTACTTAGATAAGATTCTAGTATAGCGTATAAAAAAATGAAAAGAAGTTTTTGTAGCTCGTTATATATTCCTGTTTTTTCTTTCAATTAATATTAATAGGTCTTTGTTGTACTGAATTTGTTTCATTTATTTAAGGTGCCGACATCCCTCTATTAAAACTCGTGGTGGTGGCGGCAACATTATCACCTGAATCAGTCACCAAATCTTGAACAACTAGAATGGATTTCTTTAACTGGAACCTCATGTTTGAGCCAACGATTTCCTCCTTAAGAATCGTTGGTTTGTGGCCAAAATACGATTCATACAAAATTGACGCATACAGCGTGTATGCTGTAATAAGTGTGTCGTTCTTCATGTACGCTAATACATTTTTTCAAGCAATAAATATTTTTATAGTTGAAATGGACATTCAAGCTTTGGCTGCAACTATCTTCGTTGCTGAGCACATTGTTGCAGTTTTGAAAATATCGGGCTTATTGCAGAATCTGAAAAAAATTAAGAACCTTATGAAACAACTTAACAGGGAAACTTTTCAGCCCAAAAGCTCAACTCAGCTGAGAATGGTCGAACAATATTTACAAATGTGGAAGATGTTCTATTTGATTTATCAGTGTGGTGTTTTGGCGTTGGGAATTTTCTGGTTAACTAAACCAATTTTGGACAAGTCTTATAAGAGCTATGAGTTGCCGTTTTTTGCTTGGTATCCGGTGGATGTTAAGACGTCCCCTTTTTACCAGATTGTTTATTTGTATCAGTGTGTTGCGTTGTTTTATATTGCTCTGGCACATATGCAACTTGATTTGTTGTCTACTGGTTTGATGGTGTATATAGGAATTCAGTGTGATATTTTGTGCGATAGTTTAACACATGTTACGTGTTTATCTGAATTAATGGAGTGTATTAAGCATCACAAGAAAATTCTGAGGTAAGATGATCACTATCATGTTTTCAGCGTTATAAAAAACGATTTTAAGATTTTCGACAGATTTTAACGCTTTCTTGGGAAACATAATTGTGGCACAGTTTGCCACAAGCGTGGCGACTATAGCTTTGGGTTTGTTTAAGTTGAGTCTAGTGAGTATTAACACTAGAAAAAATATACCAACATAAACAATATTTGCAGGCTGTCCCCGGAAGTGCTGAATTTTATACTCTAGTCTCATTTGCTTTGACGACGACTTTAGAATTATTTTTATATTGTTGGGTTGGAAACGAAGTGGAAATTAAGGTATTTATCAAAAATATAAATTTTTGGAAATTGTACATTTTTTTATAGAGCAGTAAAGTTCCTATTGCTGCCTGGAATTCCAGATGGATTGGTAAATCCATACGGATGCAAAAAACTGTATTATTTTTCCTAATGAGAACCCAGAAGGAACTGACCATAAATGCATACAATTTGTTTCCACTATCACTGCGCACTTTCATGGGAGTAAATGCCAAGAAATAAAAATTGTAATGTGTGTTTATTAATTTGTTTCATTTTAGATAATGCGAAGTTCGTGGTCCTATTTTGCCGTTTTGAGGCAAATGAATTCTCCTCAAGCTTAAATTAGTCGTTAAGTCTTTACATATTTGCTTTTACACACAAAATCACAACAGCAAATTTAATAAATGAGTCAAAAATCAGCAAAAACCAATTATGTTTATCCCTTTTTCCCAAATAACGATATTTGTGTATCTCTATTGCTTAATTATATGCTGTATTTTCTGATAATAATTAAAGAACAATGATAATGCAATAGATGTACATTTATTACTTTATTTCACCAAATTGGTTTCATTTATTTTGTTAAATTATGTCAAAATTATCACTAATATACCGACCGACAAAAAAATCGGCCATCGTGAAATATTTCCAAAACCACTTTAAAAATTGTTCATTTAAATAGTGATTGTTATTTCATTAAAAACCATTCTCTGATGGCATAGGGTGTACAAATTAGGTAAAAAAGAGACAAATAAATAGAGAATTAAATTTAATTTAAGAAAGCAATTGAAACAGTACAGCATTTCAGGGTGGCCGGTTATTTTGCCGGCTAGTATATTATGTTTGTTGTTGATTTAATTAATGCAGTATCATGTGTAGCTGAGTTCGAAGTTATGTTCCATATTTTGGAAAGATGTAGTTATATATTTTTAAGTATTAGTTGCTTGTTTGATAGAAGAAAATGTAGCGAAAACGCATGTGTTTTATTAATTCATAATGTTGTACATAAATGACATTTCCGGGTTGGCAGCTATCATCGATTAAATTTTAGGTTAATTGTAGACGTATGTCACAATGTTTATAAAAAGTCAAGTCAAGTCTTTTTAATGTTCTACCATCCTCAATTAGTTCCTGTGAAATGTTTTATGCAACTGATGAATATTTTGCTTCTGTTAACATATCATAATGTCTTATTAATTTTATTGTATACTTTATGCGTATGTTCTTTGTTTATTGTGTAGTGTATTTTTTCATGTATTTTTCTTTTTCACGTATTTTTTTCTTTACTGTAACAAATCGATAGGTACCTGATTCGTGTATGCATTGTGTAGTATAAAACACCAATAAATTTATTATTAATAATTTACTTTGATACTATTTTTCAGTGAGGCCAATATTGTGAAATTATAATGTAAAATTAAGCAAAAATTATCAAACTGTGGTATAAATAAAATATACGGGGTGTTATGAAAAAATAAATTATTACAAATTTTCAAATATAATATTTCAGCTGTTTCAAATAGAACACCTTGGAATTTAAAGGTGTATTTTTGTTCTCTATTTGTTTTGTAGAATAATTTCTATATTTAAAATTTAATAATTACTGCAATTTTCAATTTTGTGAAAGACGCACTGACATATTGAAAAAATGGAATAAGATGCGATATTAAAATACAGGGTGTTTTATTTGAAAAATTGAATGATTGATATTGGAAAGTTGTAACGTCTTAGATTCTTCATAAATACCCTGTATATTAAAATTTGGTTTAATTTGGACCATAACAACCGCGTAATTCTGTTTATCGCCCCATAAAATTTTGTAACACCCTTGTATCGGTAAAAAATTCAAGAAGACTGGAATACATTATGATTGTAAAGCCTAGGCTAATGAGAAAATGTAGAAATATATAGAGTTCTATTAAAAAAAAATAATAATAAGTTTTGTTAAGCCTCAGAAACAAAAGACTCTGTATAGTCGAAAATAATTTTAATTTACGCTACTCAAAAACTGTACAACTTTAGTCTCAGACTTTTTTTCATTTTGTATATTTTGTTCGTTGGTTACCAAGTTTCAAGTTTCTAAAATACAAATCAACAATTTCAATTTTTTTTCATACTGAAGTATAGTTCATCAAATCAAGTTTATTTGAAAAATTGTAAAATTTGATTTTGCCAAATTATATTTGTTTTGTGATCACCGAGATAAGCTAAAAAAATATAGGTAATATAAAATACCAGTCACTGCCTAAGAAAAAAAGTAACCCGTGAAGAGGGTAAAAATTCAAGGCAGATTCATAAATTACAAGTACAGAAGTAAAACAAAAGTTTGAGGTGACGTCATCAAATTGTTCGACTGGACGATTACACAAATTTTGTTTATCGTTTTACTATCAAGACTTATTACTTCCCGCGCGTAAGCAAAGGAAGTATTGTAATCGAGTCCGTTGGCCGATTCTCTACTTTTACCTTTTCTCGATCTTTCATGACCCCTAGAAGACGAAGAAATAGGTCTCCCATTTCCGTCTGTCTGTCCGTCTGTCCGTCTGTCTGCCGTCCCGGAATTTTATTATACAGATAATCTCCGAAAGTACTGGACCGATTGTTGTGAAATTTTGTAGTTATATTAGGAATATCATGTAGATGGTAAAACGCTAACCAAAATTTGTCTAATCATCCCCACCACTAATGCGATGACGTCACTTCAAAATTGTACATAGTAAATGGGTCTTAAATTGTATAAAATAACTTAGTCCTACACATGTAGTTTACGACTCCGAATTGAGTTTTTACCCGAAACGTCCAGATTTTTGGAAAAAAAATCAAAATTATAGAACAACATTTTGCAATTTATTTTTGAATCTGCTAATCCGAATGTTTTGAAATATTGCAGATGTTTTAAGGCTCTAAAGAGTATCATAAATCTTTAGTCAAAATATATTTGGTTATCCCATCCAAAAACTTGATGACGTCAGCTCAAAAGTTTGCCAAACAAATCCTATCTAAAATGTACAAAATATGATGTGTCTGTACTTGTGATATATATCTCCATTCATATTTTTTGAATCTGCATATACAGGGTGACTCAAAAAAAAAATGAATGCGCAAAATTTATTTTACTGCTTTACTCGGGAACTACAAAACCGAATGCTTTGAAATCTTGAAGATGTTTTAAAATTATAATAAGCATGGTAATTTTTTTATCAAAATGTATTTGCTCATCCACCCTAAAAAAATAATTGATGACGTCAGCCCAAAATTTTGCTGAATAAATTCTGTCTAAAATGTACAAAATATAATGAGTCTGTACTTGTGATTTATCATTCCATTCATATTTTTGGATTTGCATATACAGGGTGACTCAAAAAAATTAATGAATGCGTGAAGTTATTTATCGATTTTATCAGGATTACAAAACCGAATGCTTTGAAATCTTGGAGATATTTTAAAGTTATCATAAATGGTAAACTTTTGTTCAAAATGTATTTGCTTTCCCCCCCTAAAAAATTGATGACGTCAAACGTCCAAAATTTTGGTGAATAAATCCTATATAAAATGTTAAAAATATGATGAGTCTGTACTTGTGATTTATCATTCCATTCATATTTTTTGGATTTGCATATAAAGGTGACTCAAAAGAATTAATGAATGCATGAATTTATTTTATTGGTTTAATCAGGAATTACAGAACCGAATGCTTTGAAATATTGGAGATGTTTTAAAGTTATTATAAGCATGGTAATTTTTTTTAACAAAATGTATTTGTTCATCCCCCTAAAAAATTGATGACGTCAAGAAAAGAATCAAACTCCCATGGTTTTTAGAAAATTCGTTTTTGACTGCTGTATTTTAAACTGAAACTTTTAAATTGACGGTAATCAAGCAAGACGAAAATTCTATCAAAGACAAATCTTGAAAATCGGTGGCTGTGTTTAATCGTGTTTTTACTGTTCTTTCGGTATAAACAAATGTATTAAATACCGAGTGACTATTAATACATTCTGGCACCAACAATTTGTATAATTTTCTCAAAGTGGATGTCTCGTAGACTTGGTCAATAATTTTAATGAAATTACTTTAATGCACGGTAATTTGCAAAGACGTTTCAGACACACTAATAAATAATGAAAATGTAAATTGGAAGCAATTACATCGATGCAAAGAAGTCTTTGTCTTTGATAAATAGGATTAATAATACATTATAGTTTGTAGCTTTATATATTTATGTTCTGAAAAATAACATTCAGATGGTAGAAATCTATCCTGAGTAAAGGCAGGGAGAAGAAAAAAATTAAGACAATGAGATTAAATATTTTTTTCATTTTATGTTAGGTACGTGTTGTGATATGTGTAAGTCTTTAAACGATAGATGGATAAAATTGTCCACGTAAGTATTACAGTTATTAATTTTTTTAATTTTTGAAAGTCTCTGGAATAAACTCAAAAATTTGGTCGTCCAAATTTAATTTATAGAACAAACTAAGTAAAAAATGAGGTGTGAGTATTTTTTTTATTTCTGAATACTTCATTGTTTGGATTTATTTTTTTAGAAAACCGGTTCAAATGGTTGTTTGACTAATCTGATGTACCTGTAATTCACTTCATAACTAAAGGAACAAATTTACTGCTGCAAAGTTTTCTTAAGTTAGTCATAGAGTCATCACAAAAATTGTAAAGATTTCAGTTTGTTTACTTACGTTTTCTTGTTTAGTAATTCCTCTTCAACATGTCTGCTTTTTTAGAAAACAGAATAAAGAAAATTTCACAATCATTTTAGAATAGTCATAAATTTTTTCATTCATCTAACCATCCATAAAAAACTGAAAAAAATGTTAGTTTAAAACTAACTCAAGACAGTGGCTCTGTATGAGTTAAAGTCAAACTAACTAACAACAATATTTATGAGTTTATATTGTATAAGCTTGTGACTTTCTCTCCACTAAAACTCGTACAAAATAATTTACCTATTCATTTATTAGTTATTCATGTGAACATTATTTTCGAATGAACAGAAATTAAATTATAATTATAGGATGCAAGCTTGGTGCTTAAATTAATAAACTTCTAATTTAAGGTTTGAGGAAAAACTTCAACCGGAAGTAGTAATTACTTGTAGCCAAACAAACAATAATTATGCAAACAAACTCGTAAGTTATCCTGATTAAAGGGTTATTGGAAAAACAACGCTAATTATAATTTCCACAATTTAAAATTAATGCTTTAATTTTCAGCTTACTTAATTTTCTTGTAACCTGCAGCAGTATTCTTCGATTCACTTCGCGTGGTTCGACTCGTGTTGGTGAACAAAGCTTAAAATTTTCATTATTTAATAGCAACTTTCCAG